TGCAATCTTATTATATATGCTATTTTATAACCTGCCTGTTCCTCTTACTAAGATTTCGTATTTTTCTAAATTACTATGTAGCTTTACATCATTTTTAAAAAGTGTCCGGTAGTCTTTTGCATAAATGTCATAATTTATTTAACAAATTATGAATGCCCACAAAGTTTTATGTTACTATCCTATTTCCATTATAAATAGCAACTAAGAACATCCATGTTTTATTTTGTTTTCTTTTGGTGCTTTCTTATTTGGAGGACATGGCTGCATCTCATCTCTGAGCCATGGAGAATTGTTTCAATATGAGAATAAGATAAAGATTTAATTTTATACTTTTCAAATAATTATCCAATTGTCTGAATGCATTTACCCTTTGTCTTCTGCAGATCAATTTCCACCCAATCCCATCCCCTGCTCAGCAAAAGGCATCTATCTACAAATTCTTTTTTCTTTTTTTACATTGAGATGTAATTGACATATCACATATTAGTTTCAGGTATACAACATGATTTGGTATTTGTATACATTGTGAAATGATCACCATAGTAAGTCTAGTTCACATCCATCACCACACAGAGTTACAAATTTTTTTCCTTGTGATGAGAACTTTTAAGATCTACTCTCTTAGCAACTTCTAAACATACAATACAGTATTATTAATTAGAGTCACTATGCTATACTTTACATCCCTAGGACTTATTTATTTTATAACTGGAAGTTTATACTTTTTGACCACTTTCACCCATTTCAGCCACTCCCCAGGATCCCTCCCCCTCCAAACTGTGGCAATCACCACCAATCTGTTCTCTATGAGTTAAGGCTTTGGTTTGGGTCTGGGTTCTGGTGGTCTTTTTTTCTTAGATCCCACATGGGATTTGTCTTTCTCTGTCTTAGTTCATTTAACATAATGCCAACAAGGTCAACCATCCAGGAAATCCCATCCAGGATTTCCTTCTTTTTTATGTTTGAATAATATTTTGGTGTGTGTGCGCGTGCACACGTGTGTGTGTTCACCACATCTATTCATCGATCAGTGGACACTTAGGCTGCTTCCATATCTTGGCTACTATAAATAAAGCTGCCGTGAACATGGAGATGCATATATCTTTTCAAGCTAGTGTTTTTGTTTTCTTCCGATGAATATCCAGAGTGGAACTGCTGGATCATATGTCCATAATTCCTTACATGACAAATTCAGTGACTGTTTTTAGTCCTAATTCTTTACTCCTCTGCAGGATTTGACGTTCTTAGTCACTCCTTTATTTCTGCAACTTTCTTTCCCTTAGGCTTCCCTAGATTCCCACTTTCCTGCTTTCCTGGATTGTCTCTTACATCCGATTTCTCCTATCTCACGTTTCCTCACTGGATCTTCTTCCTCTCCCTGTTTCCCGAGATTGCCTTGGATGTTATATGTGACTCTATGCTTATCATTTTACATGTTCTCACTGGGCAACTGAGGCTGTTCAGCAGGCATTTACAGCACAGCTTGGTGGGTGCTGATGGGGGAATAGAGCTACCACATGGAAGGTCACACACGGGCTCGGGAATCATCCTGCTGCACGTCAGGAGTGGACAGCGGTTCTGCACATTGCTGAGCAGGGTGTAGAGGGCTCTCGGTAAAAAATGAGGCTGGAGCAGGAGGCTGAGGTCAGTACACAGGGGCTGTGCACAGATGCTGAGGAATCTGGACTCTATCTTTCTGTTTATCCAGTAGATTTTTCTAGAGTTTTAGGACATGCTGGGCATGATCATTCCATTTTCTGTGGTGCATCCTACATCCACAATATAGGAATATCTGTCTTCGCCCCACAGAAATGGGCATACTATCACTGCCCCTGTGACTACAAAGAGAACATGTGTGGGGGCACCTGGGGGGCTCAGTCGGTTAAGTGTCTGCCTTCGGCTCAGGTCATGATCCCAGGGTTCTGGGATTGAGCCCCATGTTGGGCTCTCTGCTCAGTGAGAGCCTGCTTCTCCCTCTCCCTCTACTGTTCCCCCTGCTTGCGCTCGCTCTCTCTCTGTCAAATAAATAAATAAAAT